ATGGCTCCATCTTTTATTCCATTTGTGTCCTTTCCACCCCTAAGTTAATGTCATGTCCTTAATATGTGGTTATGAGATGTCTCTGTGACTGAGCTGGGAAACCTTCCAAGTTTCTCTTTCCTTTCCTTTCATCTCAGGATAACTGAGCTCTGCAGTTTGTGTGGGACCAAATGCCCTGGGAATACAATGCTGAGCCCTCTGAACTCATTTTATTTATCGTATTATTTGATTCCTGGGGCTGAATTAAATATACCCTTAGATATAGAATCTGAGTCATTACCTGGAGATTTCTGTGGGAGTTGACACTGAGGCATAAGACACATGTGTTTATTGGTCAGTTTCCTCAACTACGGAACGAAGGTTGGTCCTGCCCCTCGGATCCTTTGGAGGTTGGATATGATGCATCCAGAGGGATTAACTGGCAGCTCGGAGAGTAAGATCAGAAGTCAACAGACACTTGTTTCCTTTGCCCAGACAGAGTTAGACAAACACAACTCCTTTTATCATAACAGCAGCAAGGGCCATGCCTGTGGGAGGAGGAGCAGGGAACCAGGGCTTCCCCCTTGCTCCTTCCCCACCCTCCCTCCCTCCATCCCTGCACTGATCCAGCTGCTATAGGAACCACTCAACTCAGGCTCTGGCCCCGCCCATCTCACAGGGAGGAGCATGCACAGTTTCTTGCAGACACAGAAGCAGCTGTGGAGTAGGGAGGTGGTGGTTATTCCCCTGAGCAGGCGCTGAAGTCCTTGTTGAAGTCTCCACTCCAGAGCCTGCAAGTCCGAGTCCTGGGAGGCTGCGCAGTGGAGGCGCCACATTCCTTTCAGTAGAAACTGAAGATTGATAGGAGCCTGCTGGCTGGGGGGAAGGACCAGGAGGTCTGCCTTGCACCCATTCGCCAATCCCCAATCCCACTTTGCTGATTGTGCCTCCTAAGCCCCGCAGGCCGGCACCACACATGGGGCAGGGCACCCGCAGTCACCGTGCCCACCTGAGCCCCACTGCCCAGGGCCGCACATGGGGGCCTGGATGGCAGCTCCCACCGTCCCACCCTGCCTGCAGTATGCAAATTAGCTGCCATCTTTGTTGGTGGTTAATTTGCATATCAATCTGATTGGCTGATGGGCGTAGTGAAGGCACGGTCAATTTGCATCTTTGTATTTTATTAGATAGGATCACAGACTCACCAATCAGGGGGATTGTTATTGAGATGTGTGGATGAAATGAGTCCACATGCTAACCTGCCAAGTTCAGGGAAGGCCTGTGTGTGATGGCCTTGCAAATTCAAACAGCTAAAATAGCCACAAGGAATGGTCTGAAATGAAAACATTTTAACTAGAAGCAGTTTATGATAGACTGGAAGGGGTGGGGCCCCTCAGCCATGCCTGCCCCCTATCACAATCTGGGAGCCCTCAGGGGTGGGAGGCATCATGGCGATTAGGGGAAGGCAACGCCCTCATCACACCTCTGCTGCTGCCACTGCCAGCAGCGCAAGCCTCAGCTGGCTCTGGTTACCTGAGTCTCAGGTTGGCCCTGGGTGGCTGAGCAGCCGCCATCAGCAGCTTGCCTGCACCCCGGGCCAGCCCTGGGTAGTGGCTGCTGCCATTCAAGGCTTGCCTGAGCCTCAGTCAGTGGGGGGTGCAGGAGAACCTGAGGCCCTGGTGGGGGTGAGAGGACTCTGGCGGCAGGTGCGCAGAGCAGCCGGCCCTGGCTGAGGAATGGAGGATACTCTCAATGACATGAGTTATAACTTCCAATTTGTTGGACACCCCAGTCAGGCTTCAGCTTCGGGGGAGGGAGGAAGAGAGGGATGGGTAGCTCATTGGAGGAGCCTGGGTGAGCTGTCAATCAGTAGGTGAGCTGTCAATTAGTAGATCCTATCTAATAAAATACAAAGATGCAAATTGACCTGAGGCCCCTGGCGAGGCTGATGGGACCCTGTTGGCAGGCGTGTGGAGCACCCGCCCCCCCTGCTGTGGGCGCTGCCATCTTGTGATGCGTAATGGTCAATTTGCATATTACCATTTTATTATATACGATAGTCATGTCCCAGACTAGAATCTCTGTAACAAAACTCAATTTTTCCTTTACCTACACTTGTCCATTGTCTTTTGCATCGAAGATAGCATACCTTGGCAATGTCAGGGTAATTCCCCCTATTTCAGACCCCTCAGTGCACAACCAATGCAAGCAGGTCTGAGACCATAACTCCTCTCATTGTTATTGTTATCATGTTAATCATTAACTAATAACTATCCTGTACCCAGCTATGTAAAATATATATATACTAGAGGCCCAGCGCCTCCATTGCATGGCCTCTGCCACCCTGCGATGCTACATGAAGCTTCCCACCCCCAGACACTCCACGATGCCCGGGGCCACTTGACTGCTCTGCAAGGCTCCCCCTGCTTGACTGCTCCACAAAGCTTTATGTCGCCCCGCAAAGCTTGCGGCTGGACGCTTCGCAAAACTCCCCCTGCCCCGCCACTGCTCCGCAAGCTGCCCCAACACCACAATTGCTCCACAAAACTCGCTGCTGCCTAGGTGACAGCTCCACTAAGTTCACAGCCACACTGTGAAGCAGCCCGCCACCACTGCTTAACAGTCCCCGGTCCCGCCCCGCCGCAAGCCCCCCGCTCATGGTGAGCGGCTCAGGGACTGGGGGAGAAGGGGGACCGAGAGGTGCTCCATGCACTTCATGGTGACCAGTTGCCCGTTCGGTCATGACGCCACCTAGCTCTTTATATATATTAGGACTAGAGGCCTGATGCATGAAATTCCTGCAAGAGTAGGCCTTCCTTCCTCCGGCTGCCGGCACAGGCTTCCCTACGGCACCCGGGTCCGGGGCTTCCCTTGCAGAGGGAGGCCCTGTCCACCTGCCGCAGCCTGCTGGTCGGAGGCCTGGGCCTCCCTCTGCGGGGCGATCATGGGGCAATGACTGGGCCCGACCAATCACATCATACCCACCTTGGCTGGCCTGGCGCCAGTGGGTGTCATAGCACGATCCCGGATGGTCGTCCGAATGGTTGCCCAGATGGTCGTTCTGCTATATGGCTGTTCAGTTGATTTGCATATTATGCTTTTATTATATAGGATATACTAGTATATGTATATAATTTTACTTTTCATCCTATCCCAGGGGTTTCCATGCTTTCCTTCCTCCCAGCTCCCTAATCTATCACCAATGGATTTCATGTAACCCACTTGGATCTTCTTTTGATTATAATGTATAAAATAAGGTATCAAACTGTCATACTTTGGACATTATCTCAATTAATTGACATTTTGCCTCCTGGCAATGAAATCATAAAATTCTCTACAGGTTTGAATGATTCTTACGTTGATGGAACCCAGTTTTCTGATAAATCTCATTATTGCTGGATTAAACAGTGTAACTGTGCTGGCAGCAGGAATGGCACCAGGTGTCTGACAGGTGGGGTCACACCCAACCTGGGTTCAGCAACCTTGGTACTTGGTTCTGGCTGGGTAAGAATACAGGGCAAGACCCAAAGAGTAAGAGAACATTATTGGGTAAATTACAGAGGTAGGAGAAGTAAGTCTTAGAGGAAATGGGCTTAGGAAAGGAGTTAAGGAGGTAAAAGAATTGCCCTTGGAGCTTGGGAGCACAAGCTAATGGTAACCTGCCTGGGGCAGGAGGAGATGGAGGTGAAAGGCAAAGGTACAGGTGTGCTCCAGGGAGGGAGAGCGCACTGGGTCCTCCTTCCTAAAGGTTTTAAGGGTGGAGATTTCAGGGGAGGTCCCAGGGGAAGAGCTGAATGGAATATTCTGTAGCTTTCCAGGTGTGTCCATTCAGGGATGTGGCCTCCACTGATGGATTGGCCGGCACCAGGGCAGGGGTCATTATTCAATGCAGCTGGTCCTGATGTCAGCCCTGGCATTTTGCTGCTTATCTGGGCCTGGAGTTGAAATACAATGAGGCATAGATGTTATCTCTAGGGAGGAAGAA